ATAAAACATTGTTGCTGTCCACACTCGCTCAAATTTGGCCATACAGTTCTTTCTAGTGGTTGTCAAAGTCAATTTTCTATTATGTTGGTGGGAAGGAAAAAAAAAAAAAAGACCAAGATAATCAGACATTGACCCATCCCTCTTACCATATGTGTCCATTAACACATGATTAAGTATCTATATCCATCAATTGATATCATTTTAGCTTCCCCTTACCAAATAAGCCAGGAAAATGGAATCCAATATTATAAACTAGTCTTGTCATTTTCATGCCCCAATTCTGCAAGTCTCAATCAGTTTTACTGCTGAGTTATTATAAATTTAATAATATGATTGATACTAATGGCTAATGGGAAAAGTTTGTTTCAGACTCAAAAGGAAAAGATTATGGGAAAATTATATTTTGGTGACCAAAATTAAACATAATTGTTCTATAGTGACTTTAAAGTCAAAAAAAGGTGAATAGTGACCAATGTTGAAACTTAATTGATTTTAAGTGACCATTTGAGGATAATTTGGTCAAAAATACTTAAAGGTTTGATAAACATTTTAAAAATAAATTTTAGATGACAAAATTGTCATCCAATACAAATAATAACTCATTGAATTCATCCTCCCACTCTCTCTCTCTCTCTAATCCAACGTTGTTTCTTTTCTTTTTTAGTTTGCAATTTACCAATTTAAAAAATTAAGATTTCTTTATCAACATTATCTCTTTTCCACCATTTATTTATACTTCAAGGCTCTCCACCATAAAAGCAAAAACATTTATAGTAGCAAATCAAGAAAACAAGTTTCATCCCAAAATGCCCTTTATAGAATATTTATAGGAACATTTGTTTTTTAATAAGAAATAGTTTTTCAAGCATTTTAACAAACATGAAGTGCATTACAAAGTAATTTAAATTTGAGACATGAACTAATGACAATGTCTAAAGTAATCTATTCACTTTCAAAAACAAAAGTATAATTACGTAATACAAAATGTTCCAAAACCCAAGCAAGCTCAATAACAACTCACAAGACAACTTCATATTTGCAAACCATTGATATGCATACTCTTGAAACACCCATAAACAGTTGGCAAAATTCTAAAATTAATCAACAATGGTTATTATTTCTTAAACTATAACTCAGTAGTATTAAAAAATTCCTAAAAATTACAATATTTATATCTTAAGGAAAATCTCTCAAATAAATCAACTTGTAAAGTATAATAACTATACCTTGAAAAAAATGAATAAGAAGAAAATTTACAATTTTCTCGTTCTGCCTTTTAGAACCTTGAAGAAAATGATGTAGAACATTTGTCCTTAGTTCTCTCCCATCTTGATCTTCTCTTAATAATCTGTCGTCTTTTGTTAGTCAATTTAATTAAGTGTTTATTTAGGTTAATATACAGGGTAAATTTGTCTACTTATTTAATAATATATTAGAAGAAGGTTATTTAGATAATAAACCATCAAATGGTCACTTAATATCAATTAAGTTTAAGCATTGGTCACTATTCACCTTTTCTTAACTTTAAGGTCATTATGGAGCAATTATGTTTAATTTTGGTCACCAGAATATAATTTTCCCAAAAATTATTGAATTTTCATTTCTAATAATAGATTTTTCCTATTTTTAATGCTTAGGACTTAATTAACGGGTGTAATTCTATGAATTAAATAGCTTTGGGTATAATACATAATAGGGCTTGCTATACTATAACTACCAGGATGGATTAGATTTACTATCAGATTCATTTAGTCTGATGAACTCATTAAACCAAAATATGTTAACCCCCAAGAAGATGTTTGAGTACAAGGGCTCAACTGGAAATCCTTTAAATTGTGACCATGTTCTGCTCAGACAACCATTAGTCAAGTAGGGATGTGTAGACCATAGTTCAATGAGACTGTATGTTTCAATTTCTTTAATTGGAATGAATAGAAAAGCAGAGTGGGAGATAAAGAAAATGTTCACACTCTTCTAAAGGCTCAAATCTGAGCTAGTACGATTTTACCACCAACTTACATTATAGGTAACTTAGTTGATGTTAATAGCACACTAGTGAAAATATTCACAGAGCATTGACACTAGAATTATTGTTAGAAAGACTTTAATCAGGTAGAGATAACATAATCAAATTGGAAAAAGAGCTAGAAGGTACTCACAAAAGGCATATTACGTCGATCTTCACTAAAAGCAAGGTTGAGCCTTAATTTATCACTCCCAATAACAACAATAACTTTTCAAAAGAAATCATGTTTATTACATAGTATACTCATTATGTCCTAATCCCATCTCAATTATATTTTTGCTTAGTGATTTAGATTGGATTAAACAAAAAGTTATAATCAATTCCATCTTAAGCATTAGTAGATGTAATATGATGGATGCATGATGAAAGGAAATTGACCAAAAGATGGTTTTGTGCCATTAAAACGAAAGAAATGGTGGATCCCACAAAATTTATTTGTGGCTATGGAGATCTCTTCATTGAAAGATTAGGGTTAGGGTTTAAAGATTGGTTCCCCACAGTGAGTGTAGTGAGCTTGCTTTTTATACCTAAGATTTGGAAAGTTTGAATGTGGTACCACACAAGGAAGCTGTGAAGGTATAAAAAAAAAAAAAAGGACAATCATGAGCCAGGCATAACAGAAGGGTGTCACACAAGAAAGCACTAAGAGGCCTCTTGTAGTGGTGAAACCAAGTGCCATGTGTCGTGTCACAACACGCACGCTGCACAATGGTTAGTGCACATGTGTCAGCAACCCACCATCAGACAAACGTCGAAAGTATAATACAGTCACACACAAAGGATTCTAACAGCATGATGTGGTGGGACAATCCTCTTTCATATTTATGAGATCAAGCATCCAAAGAGCGAACTTTCATAACAGGGTATGAGAAGAAACATAGACTTGAATCCAAAACCTTTTGGAACCAAGGCCCACATATCGTATTTGAACACCAACTACCTCAAAAGATTAAACAATTACCAAGGAATGAGCTCAAAATGTATATTAAGATTTCTAATAAGCATGAGTACGCTGTACACAGGTTTGAGTGTGAATTAAAAGATATGTCTCTAATCTTCCCTTTCTCCTATTTCATACAGGGAGTACATACATTAAGTAATTTTTGAGTGAATCTAATCTCCTCTGGACATACTTATGGCCGGTGAGACATACGAAAGATGAACCTGGACAATGGACATCCTTTTTAAGCGTGGTTCTTGAGTTCCACTTTTCTTCATCATCATCATCAACCCCAGTTTCTGAGACCATCTTTCATGATTGGATTCTTCATTATTTTAGTGCTAATTGCGTCACTCTATCAATGTTGGAACTATATTTTATGTTGGTTATGGCAGTGGTGGTAGAAATTGTACTTGGCAACAATGGGCCATTGTGTGCATGCAGTGGCCTGCCATGGACATGGTGGTTCATGCTGATTGTGTACTCCAATTTAGAAGACGTGAAGATTAAAACTACACCATGTTTTCTCTGACCATACTATCTCAACAATGAACCATCTTTTTAGTATAACAGACATGGGAAATTATTAGAATTTTGAATTTTCATACCAATGATATTATTGGCTGCAGCAAAGACAAATGCATAGATTACATGATCAGTCTGAATTGAAATGCAGGGTTCAAATCAAATGTCAGCCCATTTGAATAATGGAATCACATTTGAATACCATCAGGACACCTTGGTGGTGAATGTTTTTTTATGCGGCACCTGTAGCCACCCATGAGCTCTCTATATTTGGCACGATCCTTTACAAATATCAAGAGAAGCACCGGATCATTCTGTAGATGATTGCATAAGGACTGAGCGATCAATTCCATGTCAAAATTGATTTAGAATAGATAACAGCTCCTATCAAATATTTATCATGTCGACAATCATGTTTAACAGTACCCCATGTGTCATGTTTCGATATATTTTTTTTGTAGTGGATCATTTTAATATGACCTAAATGATGATGTGATGTGTGCATTTTATTTTCTTCTTCAAATATGACAAGCAATCATTTTAACAATCATAAAAATGATCTCGTGGTGGTACACTGTACACCAAAGACGGTTCAACTCTCTTCAGGAGTTTGAGCACTGCCTTTCATGTGGTTGTTTTGACATTAAGGTCTCTGGGTCTTGTTCTAGGCTTAGCCGTACTCAAACTCGGCTCAAACAACTTGGAAAGAGATCAGACTAAAACAAGTGGGTTGGCCCGAACGATTGAGCCCACATCTAACCTTGAGAGATCTATAAATTTCTTTTGGGCCAGTTATTCACTCTATCCTGAAGAAAGCTCGTTTGAACCGAATTGCCAGGAAGTTTAATAATACATATATATATGGATCAAATTAACTAGCGGAAGAAAATCCCAACCCTTACAAAAAGTGATATAAAAGAAAGAACTTCAGAACAAAAACTCATGAACCACCTGGGAATAGTAATTGATGCTCTTTATGAAAAACTTTACGTAAAATGGCAGTTCAAATATGGTATGTGTAACCACTCGAACCCGTGACTTAGAACTGTTAATTGAACTCGAGGTCACCTAAGGGCACCATCGTCAATTGACATGTCAAGACACCTTCAATGAACCACTACAACTCATTACATACGCCAAGGAACAACAACGAAATGAAGAAACAGCTCAAAGAAAGGTGAAACAAAAGCAATAAGGGACCTTGCATTTCGGTCGACCAAAATGGCACTTGGGTCTTTCGAAATGCTTATTTCGGTCGGCGAAACGACTAACCAGTTGTGGCCAAAAATCTTACGAGGCTACTGGAATTGTGAATGAACAGTTACCAGGAGAACCGAAGCAGTCATTTCGGTCGGCGAAACGACTCTTCGAGCTGAAAAACTTACAACTAGATTGCAGCAAGTGTGGAGATGAAAAATGGCCAATGTAAAAACTTTGCAATCTGCTGTAAACATGTTCTAAAACACTGCAATTAACAAAGCTGCATGCCATGGTTATAAACATCAACGTTTTGATACAATACAATGCCACATTCCCATTCAACATAAAATATCATCGTAGTCTCGATTTACATCAAATTACTATCAATAAGTCATAGTTACATTACATGATTATGCTTTACAAAAACAAATACATTTTTTTTTTTCCAAGGGTTGAGACTTTACAAAAGAATAGTTTCCCAAATTACAAAAGATAGCAAAAGTGAGCTTCAATTCTCCGAACTAAATTTGTGGTGGACCGTCATCCGCCATTTCTTTGCCGTGTCCTGAAAAATGTTAATATAAAGGGGTGAGCAATTTGCTCAGTAGCTGGTGCCTAAGACACACCTCTTGTGACCCCGTGAATCCAAACAATGAATAGAAATAAAGAGAACGGGATCATGCCATGCTTGGGAAAATACAACACAGTTTCAAGACCATAATTAAACAATGTCGTGTCATGGAATGCAATAGCATGCTATGTCACTCACCGTTTTCAAAATCCATTACATTCATCACTTTTCAAACCGTTAACATAACTCGTCCCATAGCAACTCCATGGCGGCACGAGAGAATGATTGGCTACTGTCCCTAACCCATGGTAACCCCGTGGCATCATTTGGGGCCCAGATAACTCAACCACGCTAAGGCGATCTCCCTAATTTCCTCTAAGTCACATCAAATGCATAAAAATCAAAGATTGAAATTTGATGTAAAAATAAAAAAGAAAAACATGGAAATGAGAGGGAGAAAGAGAGCTTATGGGAGAGAGAAAAAGTGAAGCCAAATATGGCCTCTTGGCCACTAAACAATGAAGTGGTGGGACCCACCACTTAAAAAAAATCTAACCTTATAATTTTCCACCGCTAAATATATACATATGTGTATATTAAGTTACAACCACACAATTAGCACATTGCCATCAAATTATGCATAAACTAATAACACATGAAATGCATTGGACCCATGACACCACCCCCGTGCACAACAATTCCGGTAGCGGGTCCCACTCGGGACTTTCCGGTCTGGAAAACAGAAAAATGTCGAAATGGCAACCCTTGCATTTCAAAAAGTCCTGAACTCAACGAAATATCCTAACCAACTCTCGGACACACCCGAAACACTCCACGGTGTCCGGTACGCAAAACAAAAAAAGACGAAAATGCCCTTGCAAAAAGGGGAAATTCCAGAAAATGAAAAATAGTGAAAAACATAAACATAACAGTATAGTACCTTCCTGTGCAAGATAAATTGAAACCAGAGTGATCTGTGTCGCTGTCTATTAATTGAAACAGAAATTGAATGGCAGGAACATGGTTTGCAGCATCTTGATTCTTAGCAGTCTACTTGGTTTGCTCCAGGCTCTGGGAAACTACTACCAAAAAAATGAAGAGAAAGAAAAATGAAGCACAACCAGATGCATTCACAATACGACGAGAAGATAAAAGATAGTTTGTTTATTGGAGGATGCTTTGGCCATTCACTGGACTCATTTGATTGAACGTCGTTAAAGGGTGGTAATTGAGGTTTTCAGAGAGCATATCTTAAATTATCGGTTGGTGATTTGGATTATGGTTTCTTGAATAGGAAAGCGTTTTGAGAGTCTTGATTCTTTTGTATTTACCTTTATAGTTGTCATGTGCAAGGTTGCTAACAATATATCAGTCTATGAGGTATTTAAGCAACCGTTTAAACACAATACAAGCATGTACCAAGAAGTAAAATCTACAAAGATTGAGCATATGATAACATTAATACCACAGAAGAAATGGTGAAGCCACTCACCAGATCTTTGTTCACCATAGAATCCAAGCAGAGGCATTTTCAAATATGCTCTATACCCTTCCAGGAAATTTGCTTTTCTGTAAATTTCCAAGTTGCAAAGTTGGAACTTAAGATGCAAAGATAAACAAGAGGGGGGCAAGTATGAGAATAAGAATGAAAAAAGACAAACTTTAAATGTCTTACTATCTCAATTGCCAAGAAAATCTTTTACCACATATACAAGTTCTCCTGTCAAAAAAATGGAACTTAAAAATGGCAAGGCAAAAGCATAAGCACTACACAACTGATCAGACCAAACTCTTTTGTATATCTCAAGACTCAAAACATTTTTTTCTCGATTTCTTTTTATTTCCCAAGGCATTTAATTTTGTAAAGCAAGCTCAAAAAAACAGACATATTCATTGATACTACTAAAACAGGCAACCGCGTGATCCACCAAGAATCTAATGCTTACTACCCCAGTAAGTGTTTCAAAAAGCAGGCAATTGCATATCTGCCCAAAATGTATGTCCGTGAGTGTTGCTATGTAAATCAAACAGAAGAAGGTGCTTAAAAAAAAAAAAAAAATCAAACAGAAGAACAAATAAAATAGATCATCAAACCTGAAACAATTGAGAAACCAACTTAGCAGTCTCATCTACCACCAAACAGTTCATCCCCTAGAATTGCACCACTTGGCACCTCATGCCACAAACAGACTACACTACGTCTCTCTTCGAGAATGTCTCCAGCACCACTAGGATTAGCTAGAACAAAGTCCAAAAGTTGTAAGTCAGGTGTTACTAATAAAGCAGTCCAAATAAAAGAATGAATAAGATTTCCAGTTGATGGCACAGCCCTAGGCATAATCATAAAGAAGTATTAAAGGTTAATTTTACCAGAATTTAAGCCTCAATTGAAACAGAGATTTGCTAAAATGAATGTGTATTTACTGAAGTTGTAAAATGTATTATTAATAACTAATGGGATTAAGCTCCGGGATTAGGTCAGCTTATCTCTTTGTAGTAATATTAGAACCCAGGGATCTCACAACTAGCAAGACTGTTAAAAAATCTGAGAAATCACCAACCTGACAAGTTGCAAAATTCAAAGCATGTTGTTTGGCAATTGATAAGCCTCAACAAGCAAAGCAAGCTTCTCAATTCTTGCCTCTACAGAAGATTAATATTTGGAATGTAACCCTCAATTTTCATCTCCTCGTACAGCAACTTAAGTACACTGTTAATATCTTCTGAATCAAAATGTGACAAGTCACCAGCAAGAAATTCATGAACTTTAGCATCCATCTCAATCCAGCTACATCCAGGAGTTTTGCTGACACCCCTCTCTCTCATCAATACTCTCATCCTAGCCGAATCATCCCACCTTTTTAATTTTGCATATATATTTGATGAAATTATATAATTTCCAGAATTTGAAGGTTCTATCTTTAGAAGAAGCTGCATAACCCTTTCACTGATATCCACATTCCGGAGTTTCTGACAGGCACCAAGCAATGCACCTAAGACAACTTCATCTGGATTTTCAGGCATCTTTTCAATGAAGTCCCATGCTTCATATATCCTTCCTGCACGTGCCAAAAGATCAACCATACAAGAGTAATGCTCAACCTTTGGGACTAATCCAAAATATGAGATCATTAAATCAAACAATTGGCAGCCCTCGTCAACCAAACCAACATGCACACATGCAGAAAGTACAGCAACGAATGTGACATCATTTGGCCGGATATCCCTGCCCTCTATTGACATGCGCTTAAAAAGAGATAATGCCTCCAAAGCTCGCCCGTGAAAAGCATGGGCAGAGATCATGGCATTCCAAGTGACCTCGTTTTTATGCGGCATGTTCTCAAAAACTCTATATGCATGGTCCACACTTCCGCACTTCGCATACATGTCAATCAAGGCAGTAGCAACATAGATATCATGATGTAAGCCTCTTTGTGATGCATATGCATCAACCCACTTCCCAAGATCAAGGGCTCCAATTGAGGCACAAGCAGACAGCATTGCAATCAATGTGATCTTATTGGGGATAATCCCTGCCTCTTTCATGACATTAAATAAGAAGATTACCTCATTTGACAATCCATTTTGTGCATATCTGATATGGGCAGGAAGAACCGTCAATGATTAGATCAGATTATCATTTCAAATATTGAGAATAAATTAAAAAAAAAATCCTTCTATCAGACTGCAATTAGGATTTCAAAAAATGAGGGAAGGGGGAAAGGGGAGGGGGGTGTTAAAGGTAGGGAGCAACACCAAATATTTGGCAGATCAGATCAAAATTACTCAGATGGCAACATTGTTTACTTAAATACTTCAACAAAATCAAGTCAAGCAAACTCTGCTCTTCAGAATTCTTTAAATACTGATCATTAAAATGTTAATACCACTAATATACAAAGTTCAACAGCAGTTCACTAATAAGGATGTAGCTTAACAAGAAAATTTGAATTTGATGTCAAATAAAATGTTGGCTTTTCTAAAAGTTATAGTGGGTCACGGACAAAACTTATCTCCTAAGAGTTTAAAAGAGTTTAACATAGGGCTCCACATATGAAGTCAATAGAATTTTAGCAATAAAAGAACAAATGAAGCTCTAGGCATGATAATGCTAATAAGCAACTATGAAGTACAAGAAGAAGTACTTGCCCTGTAATCATGGCATTCCAGGTGACCACATCTTTGGTTTCCATTCTGTCAAAGACCCCCCTAGCTGATGACAAGTCCCCACATTTTCCATACATATCAATCAATGCTGACCCAACATAAGAGTTAACCTCCATTTCACGGTCCACAACAAACTCCTCAACCCATCTCCCCAAATTCAAATCTCCCAAGTCCCCACATGCCCCAAGAACACTCACTAAAGTCATTTCGTGGGGCTCAAACCCTTCATCCCTCATTCTCCCAAACAATTCCACCGCCTCCACTGCAAAACCCATCTTCGAGTACCCTGATATCATCGAATTCCACGACACTATATCTCTCTCCCTAATTTCATCAAACACTTTCCGGGCATAACCCAATTCACCACATCTTGAATACATCGTGATCAGTGAATGAGCCACATAGCCATCCATAATCAAACCATTCTTGAAAACCATTGAATGGGCCGGTCTCCCGTGTTCCAATGCTAAAAGATTCGCACAGGCAATAAACAAGAATGGAAATGTAAAATTATTCGGCTTTAAGCCCCAAAACTTCATTTGGTAATAGAATTCTAAAGAAAGATTAAATTTTTGCCATGTAGTTGTTAGGCCACGGATCATCACATTGAAAGCGTAGTCACTGGGTTCAGGCATATGAGAAAAGAGAAGGGAAGCATTGTTGAAGTCTTTGAGATCAATGAGCTTTGAGAGTAGAAAGTTGGGTTTATGAATGGAGTTTATGAGCATTTGGGTGTGGATTTGTTGCAATGTTTTCGTGGAAACACATCGTTTAAGGAGATCTAAGAGTCTGTCAGTGAGAGGTTGTTTCAAAAGTTCGCCATAGGGCTGGGTTATTTCACGAGTGAGATGGCCGGAGTAGAGGTGTGAAGGTGTCCTTGGTCTGAACATTGGCGAGGATTTCGTAATTCTTCTAGAGAGAGTAAGAGTTCGTGATGGCATGATAAAAGAGAGAGGAATTGAGAAAACTATAGTTTCCTCCTGGTCCGGCTATGAAATTTCAATACGTATTTTCATTTGAATTCCTAGCGCTTTCTTTCAAGCACACCAGACCAAATTTTATAAAAAAAATATAAGTTACTTAAATGAAGTGTAATTTAACCTTTTAATAATATCACCTACAAAAATATATCTTACCAGGTTGTAGCATAGTGTAACGGGTGGGCGCTTACCCATATACTCGAACTATTAGGTAAGGCTGCATACCCACCCATTTATACCCAATCTCTTTCCCATCCGATTCCGATGTGTGACAAAATGACCCTTGTTACATTCTCCCCACCCAAACTCGCAACGCCCTCGTTGCGGTTGGGCCACCCTGCCTACCCGGGTGGACTCACCCGGACGCCTTCGGGCTGGGCGCTTGGCGTGGTACCGGATCAAGGACTGGGTTTGGCTCTGATACCAACTGTAACGGGTAGGCGCTTGCCCATTTACCCAAAAGCTCGAACTGTTAGGTAAGGCTGCATACCCACCCATTTATACCCAATTTCTTTCCCATCCAATTCCGATGTGGGACAAAATGACCCTTGTTACACCTAGCATAATATCCTTCTAATTGAAATTTTTTCTGAACTGACATTCCGCTAATGCCATAGGGTGCTGCATCAATAACACAACCGAAGGAATGCTAGAAAACTCTTTTCCATTTAATTTCAACTTTGTTTTGCAATTCAAATTTCTACATCCCATCATATACATACATGATTATAAACCCGGCAAATCTATCAAGCTGAATGTCGCATGTGGATCTCCGAATAAAAAGTCTGACATCAAAGAAATCAATTTCTAAGGGAAATGGGCACCTTGAAATTCTTCATTTTTTCATCACGAAACAAAAAGCAGATTGAGGTTCCGTTTGTACGAGCATTTCATGCAAAAATAAAACATGATGTATCATTCAATTAATGGATTGAATACTTATATCAAAGGTCTGAGTAAACCTTTAAAACTTTCCTCTAAAGTAAATGTTCTCACTTATTGTAGATCCCTTAGCCAGATGCCTTCTCCTTGGATTTCCATCTTCTTGGTAATTATTTTGCCTTTAGGAATCACTCATAAGCCTCCATGAATGACCTTGGAAAACTAGGCTTGTGGGAGCCTCCATTAGATGAGAACATAAACCCTAATTTTCTAGAGAGAGAAAATATATATTCCTTTTTTCCTTCTACTAAAAATCACCCCCTAAAATATACATAGACCATGTATATTTATAGGCAACATAAAAATAAAGAAAAGGAAACAAAAAATCCTTCTCCATCTCTAATTCATATGTCTTAAATCTAATATGATTCCAATATCAAGTTGGGCTATGAGTGAGAATCCATTGGGCCTATTATTTTATTGGCTACAATGAATTAATAATCGGCCCGATCCATGGACCCAATTCAATTAATTCATAAATTAATTTCTACTCCACTAAAAGAAATTAATTGAACTCCAATTAAATAATAAATAACCTCTAAGTCAATATTGCACTTTGACCCCTCTATGCATAATTAGTTATCGGATAAATAATGCCATCAATCCGACTACTTAATTAATATATTTATTTTGGTACCTTTGATTATTTCTGGCTTGATCACAATAAAACATTTGTTTGACAAAAAATAATAATTTAAATAAATAAATATATAATAAATCATTTTGTTTAAAAATACACGAAGGCCTTCGAATTTACTTTGTGATCAACCATAATCAATACAAAATAAATACAAGTAGCAATGATGCAAATATTGAAAATATAACCCTCTAACTATTATTTACATAACTACCCAAAGTGTCGATCTAAGGATCCCGAAGAATCCGCCGAACAAATCAAAGTAATTAATAATTAATAAAAGAGTCTATACTTTTCTCATACTTTAGAGTCAAATGCCATGACGGTGATAGGGAGTAATTGCATACGACGGCTCTCGCAATATATCTCAACCTAACGCGGATCCAGTTCAAGTCTTAATTAATTATGAGTCCATCCATAATTACCGACTATGAACAATTTATAATTACTATTTATATATCATGCATTGATTGCCATCACATACATATATATAAATATTTCTTGTAATTACATGGACACTATCAATTTCATAGTGAATCGAAACATAATACATTAAATTCACCAATTATATAAATCATAAATATTTCAGATATGTCAGGAACATATGTCACTATAATCCAGATAGGAATTTGCTATGCCAGGGCATATAAATCCCAACAACTCCCACTTGCCCTCATAGCCAATTCAAATTGCACCTAACTCCAATGTTACCCAGATGATGATCAAAATTATTGATCAATGACACCTTTGATAATGGATCAACAAAGTTGTGTTCCAATGCAATGTTCTAACTACAAGTGCATTTTCTTGCCGGACAATATCATGTAGAACATAATACTTCCTCTCAGTGTATCTTGTTCCTCTATGGAACCTTGGGTCATTGGTTTGGACTACTTCTGCACTATTGTCGCAATATAGCTCGATAGGCAGGTTAGTATGCTCCACAACCTCTAAATCAGTGAGATCAAACCAATAGGCTTATTTTGCCGCCTTTAAGGCTGCAATGTATTCCACCTGCAGATTTGAGACAGCAGTTGAAATCTGCTTAACAATCTACCAACTAATTTCCCTTCCATTAAATGAACATACACTAAGTCATGAACCTCATAGTATCTACTTCTGATAGCCTAAGGAACTCCAGAATGAAATCGAATTTTGGAAATTGATTCTTTATTATTTAAAATTAGCTGGAGATCAATAGGACTGACTTGGATGGTAAGTTTCAAGTTGACATGATTATTGCCTTGTTACCAAACTCGTTCGACTCTGTTAGAGTGAACTAAATAAGGAATCAGTTTGAGTTCACACTCGCTGATATTCTTATAGAATTGGTAACAGATGAAGGGATAATCAAGAGTTTGGGCATTCCTATCAATCTAACCTAGTCTATACCATCTTCTTCTAGGCCCAAGTGGACGGGCAAAGCAAAGAAGAAGGATGATAATAGGACTAGGCTAGCACAAAACATAGGTATCTAAAAGGTTAAAGGGAATAAGGCAGTGTATGTTGAGGGCGAATGAAACTGTTTCTTTTGCCGTTAACTAAAACACTATAGGACGAACTGTCTAAGCAATGACGTGGCATAGGAAAATATATATTTAATCATTGAGCCATGTTATGTGGTTGCATCTATTAATTCCTGATGGATAGATTCTGGAGCCACTAAACATGTTTGCAATTCATCGTAAGGATTTCAGGAATCCAGAAGCCTTGATGATATGGATATATATTTATCTTTTGACCTAATGCCAAGGTTGTAGTTAGGTCAGTGGGAGTATTACATCTGCAGAACATGTTTTTCAAAAAATATTTTATGTATTTTTTAGTGTTTGATTGTCGTAAAAAATTAACGAAGAAAAAAATATTAAAATTTAACAAAAATAACTTATTTATTAATTTTCGTCAATTTATTTTACACGCCGCATCCAATCGGCTCGACCTCAATCTCACCTAGACCTTTGCCAAACACAAAAATATAAAAATATATATTTTACATGAAAAAATATAATAGCCTGGATGTTTTAACAGCAGAAGTCACCCTTCTTGCCGGTACAACTTTGAATGAAACTTGATTTTGGTTTATCCTAGAAGGCACTATTCCTCCTGTACAAATCTGAATGAAACTCAAAACTTATGTATCATCAAAGAGTCCCTATGGATGTAAGTTCATTAATATACAGTAAACATTCGAGAGCTAGGCAACCTAGAGACAACTGATATGTTAACAATTTCATGCAATCCAACTAAATATAAACAAAATTTCATTCCCAAAATCGGGAGTTAACAATGCCTCAAAACTCAACAATGCTTGCTATCCCGCTTGGCACCAAATTTCATGTTCAGGTGCGTTTACTTATGACAATTGATCCTGGATGGCCACCAAACCAATTCTCTTCTGAATGCGTCTATTAATCATGCATGATCACCAGGAAAAAATAGAACATAAAAATGAAAATATCATACAAAGATTAGAGCCCCAAAATACAAATCCACACTAGGATAACAAAATCCTAATCAGAAGCGAGCCTTTCGTTTCCGTGCCGTGTACTTACCTTTACTTTCTTCATCTGTTCCTTCTTCTTCAGCACCCAATATCTTCCCTTTACTTTCTTCCCTTTACCATAAGATTTACATCTTGAGCAAAAAACACCCCTCTATTTTACTTTGGATATATAACTTTCTCAATAATTTAAAAATGTTGTAAAGAATAACTTTTCGGCTGTTACCATTAAAAAAATGTATTTGTGACATGACTAATTAAATTTAATAAATACCGAAATTACTCTTTATTGAATTTTACATTAACTTAATTAACTGAATTTAATAAATGATATAATATTAATTTTACATTGAATTTTTATTTTTAATTGTAGGAAGTGCATTTTAATATTTTTATTTCAAAATCTATAAAGAGTTATGGGAGTTATATGCATATTAAATGTTCGCAAGCCTATATTATATAATATGTATATGATACATGATCATATTAATTATTTATATTTATTTTATTTAATATATTGTATATGTCTTTATTGTTAAATGCAAGGTTCAATTTTGTCAAAATTTGATAGAGACAAAAATAAACTTAGATGAAATTCAAATATAGTATAGTACAAGGATGGACAAAGAATCCGTGAATTCGCAAATCCGATTCGATTCGTGCGGATTGGATTGAATTGCTATACACAGATTGGTGATGGATTTTAAAAAAAATCAAATCCGTAACTCACAGATCGGACTGTTAAAAATTCGATCCAATCGTGAGATTTATATATATATATATATATATATATATATATATGTGTGTGTGTGTGTGTGTGTGTGTGTGTGTGAACATTATTTGTCTTAGGATGCATAAGGATGAAGTGATCTAATAAAATATTAACAGGTATTTAAGTTTTAAAAGAAAAAAATAATAATAATAACTCAAACAATAGGAAATTCACCCTTCCGTCTT